GGCCACGCCCTGTTGTCCCGGTCCTGCAGTTTGCGTGGGCAGGGACCCCGATCCCGGGTGGGCGCCCAGCCGCGCCCCTGCAAGCTGGCCCCGTGTCCATCTCCCGTGCGGGGGGCGGTGAGCTGAGGGCGCAGAGGCCTGCGGACCGCTCACTGGGCCCCGGACGATCTGAGCTGGTGGCCAGCCCTGTGTGCTGGGGACCCCGCCAGGTAACGCTGAGAGTGGGTGGCAGAGGGCCCGGGAGGGATTGGGGGCCCTCTGTACCAGGCGCCCTCTGCTCAGAACACAGGGAGAGGGTGCTCTGGGGGGCAGCTATGGGGGCCTGGGGCTTGGGGGGCAAGATCCCAGGACTGGGGGGAGGGGAGAGGGAGTCAGGGCCGCACCAATCCAGTCTGGCTCTGGCTCTGGGCCTGTAGGACCAGGCCGGAGCCCGTGGCTTGGAGAACTGAGGGGAAGGTAGGCAGCAAGGGCTGGGGGTGGGGGGCGGGGGCACACCCCTGGTCAGAACACCGTAAGGCATCTGACCCCACCTGGGTCTGAGGACCAGCGAAGGAGCACTCCGCTGAGGAAGCTCGGAGCTGGCTTCCGCTGAACGCTGGGACCTGCCCCGGGGCTGTGGCCCAGGGTGCCGGCAAGGGTACAGATCAGAACTGACCGGGAGTGACCTGTCTGCAGGGCAGGGCAGGGCAGCTGCAGACAGCCCGATTCCAAGCCTAACCTGGTGAAAAGGTCCTGGCTCAGCAGAGGGCTTGGCACACCCTCAGAGCCCCGTGGGGGGCTGGCGCCTTCCTCAAGCCCGCCTCCACCCTGTCTCCCCTCACATGCTGCCCTGGAATGCAGACAGGGGACCCCGGAGCCAGCGGCAAGGGTCCATCTCCACAGAGCTTGGTCCAGGCCAGTTCTCCAAGGCACTCCACTATCCTTTAGGGGGATCGGGACCCAGCAGGAAACCCCGGGCCCCATGCGTGTGTGTGCCCTCTCACTTCCACGGTGGGCACAGCTGATTTTGTGCAGGCTCACAGTGGGCCCTAGGGAGGTCCTGTGCAGCTTGTGAACCCCAGAGAGTGGGCCTGGGCCTGCTCCGTTTGTTCCCAAGGAGACCACCGTCCCCTTTGCCGCGGTAACTAACAGGACCCCGTGTCCAGTGAGACGTTGGCCTCCGTCACACTTCTTTTTTCTTTTAGCGCTCCACCTTTTCCTCCCTCACAGCTGCCCTACAGGGCAAGGGCAGGGTAGAACTGCCCCTGTGGGTTTCCGCGGCTGTCACTCTACGGGAGCAGAAAGCCTTCTCTGGCTGGTGGTTTGCCTTCTCTGGCTGGTGGTTTCAAACTGCCGACCTTGTGGTTAGGCAGCTGGTGCTTAGCCCACTGGGCCACCAGGGGTGTCCTCCCTCCCACGGCTGGGAACCCCTAATGAACTTTAGCTTCTAGGCCCCTGCCTATTCTAGAGGCTCCACGGGAGTGGGGTCGCAGACGAGGGGTCCTGCTGTGGGCTTCTGGGCAGCACCAGATTTCAAGGCCCATCCTTGTGGCTGGGGGCCGGAGCCCTGGGGGCATCTGGGGAAGTTAGGCATTGGGTTGCGATAATCGGAAGGTCCAGGGTTCAAACCCACCTGCCACCCCCGCCCATTCATTACAACTCTGGTTTAAGGAACGCTCTCTGCCCTCCACCCATTTTTTTCCATCTCCACCTGCAGTGAGTGGATTCTTCCTGACCAGCTGGGAAGCTTTGTCCTCAGGCTGAGTCTTTGGGAGTGATTGCAGACATTCCCAGCCAGCCAGCCGAGGGAGGGGCAGCCTGCCCTTCAGGACTGGCCCGGGTGTGCCTGGGGGGAATTTGGGAGCGGGAGCCACAAGGTCAGGAGTTGTGCCCTAGCCTGAGGGGCCTAAAAGAATGTCCCTTTCTCACTGCAGACCTGCCCCGCCTGCAGCTGCTGTGAATTGTCCTGCCCCCAATCTTGCTCTTAAATTGCTGACCGTCTGAGAAAGCTGGAGGCCTGGGGGCGCAGTGCTTACAGGTTGGCCTGTGATTCGAAAGGTCCGAAGTTCGAAAGCCCCATCTGCTCCAAGGGAGGACAAGGAAAGGCTTTTTCATGTGTGTGGGCTTTCTACTCCCATCCGCAGGTGCAGTCTCACGGCCCAGGTCTCGTCTGCCCTGTGGTCCGGGGCCAGCACGGGTCAGCACGGCAGGGAGTGTGTCTGCAGAGGGATCCATGCATTTGAACTTCCGTGCTGCCGAGGGGTACCGAAAACACCACCACGGCCAGCAGAGCGTCCTTCAAGTCTTGCATGGCGAGACTGCACGTCACGTACTTGGAACATGTCAGGAGAGACCAGTCCCTGGAGAAGGACACCGCGCTTATCAAAGTGGAGCAAAAGAGAGGAAGACTCAGGACAAGATGGACAGGTATGGTGGCTGCATCAGTGGGCTCAAACAAGGGCAGTGCTATGCCCTGTAGCACGCAGGGTCCCTGTGCGCACTAATGGAATCAGCGTCGCTTTAAGGATAGCAACAATGGGCCCGTGTGAGTGGCTGAGTTCCTGTAGCTCCTGTGTCCCGTGGTGGCCTCTGGCTGACCGTCCCCTTTGTCCTCATCCTGTTTAAGGCTGAAAAAGGTGTCTGTGCTGATTAGGTTTGAACCGGGGCCCACTCTTCTGCCTGGAACCTGAGAGTGGAATTTGGAACTGCCCTCCAGGAGTCTTTAGCGTTCGTCCTTTGAATACCACCCTTGGCAATAGTTCTACCTTCCTGTCGTCTGCAGCTGCCAAGACTGTACCGCCTCAGGCCATAGCTTACCTCCTGGGAAGGGAGGGGAGGCAGGGACCCCGGGGAACCTCAGACAGGACAGTCCTGGTCCCTGCAGCAACACTTGAGCCAGGCGAGTTTGGTGTCTGCACCACGGTGAGGGCCCGGTGGGGTCAGTGTGTAAATTTCTGCTAAGACTAGGGTCTCCTACCAGGTAGCTAGAGAGGAGCCAGGGACCCTGCGGGTTGGAGCAGACTTTCCCAGGGGTTGTGGGAGGGGAGGAGGGGTCATGGAGGTGCAGAGAGCCAGTGGGAGCTACAGGTGCCAGCTAGGGGGGCATTTAAGTGCAAAGGGCGACAACATCCTATGAGCATTTCCAAGACTCCCCAGGATGCCGTGGCCCTGCCTCCTCCGCAGGTTTCCTCCATGTGTTGACAGGTCAATAGTCTAGTCCAGCTCCCGCAAAAGCCCCTTCCATTCTGTGTGAGACTTCCCGGCTTCAAGCTACGTCCCAGCCCTCAGGGACGGCCTGCTCTCAAACCTTAGCCAGGGGTGCCCTCTGCTGGGGGCATAGCAAAGCACACTATGAATTTGGCTCGGGTTCGTCCATGCGCCCAACCCAGAACCAAGCTCAGCTCAGCTCGCTGCCACCCTGTGGGGCAGGGTTTTTGAGACTCTAAGGGAGTTAGAGAGCTCGGTCTCTCTCTCTCTCTCCCGGGGAGAGGTTGGTGCTTTTAGACTGCTGGCCCGAGGACCAACAGCCCCACACATGACCACTATATCACCTGGCCTTCTGCGCTCCGTGAACAGTCTCCACTAGCTGAGATGGTGGGTCGGTCAGTAGGACGGTAGGTAGGTAGGTAGGTAGATGACCAGGTAGGCAGGCAGGTAGGTAGATAAGCAGGTAGGTAGGTAGGTAGGTAGATGACCAGGTAGGCAGGCAGGTAGGTAGATAAGCAGGTAGGTAGGTAGGTAGGTAGGTAGGTAGATGACCAGGTAGGCAGGCAGGTAGGTAGATAAGCAGGTAGGTAGATAGGTAGCCAAGGCTGACTTGGCTCCAACTTGTGGTAACATTAGGCTGGAGCCTGGCCTGGTCCTGTCTCTCCTCCAGTGCTCAAACCCTTCGCTGGGGCAGCTGTGATTCTAAGTTGCTCCACGGGTGTCCAAGTCAGTTCCCACCCATGGCCCTGTTGGGCAGAGTGGCGTGGTCGCCAGGTTCCGAGCATGTCAAGGACACCACGCTGGGTAACGTGGAGGGGCAGCGAGGGAGAGCAGGCCCCGACCAGGTGGGTGGACACCGAGGCTGCACTGATGGCGAGGACAGCGCAGGACCGGGTGCTCTGTTCTGTGAGTTAGAAGCGACCCAAGAGTGCCTAGCAGGGACACCATCAGCAACAACAACAGAGTTTTAGAGAGCTGACTGCCAGGCCTTTCTCCAGCGTGGCCCCACGGGGGCGGGCGGGGGTGGGGGGTGTAACCTGGGTTAGATGCCAGGTACTTCATTGCCGCTCAACTCCAAGAACTGCTTTGGAGCTCAAAAACAGGAACCCACCCCTGCCCCCTGCCCCCAGCCCCCTCCCGTCCTCCCCCGTCCCCCATTGCTCAGCAAGCCTTGGAGGACAATGACATTCCACACTCCTATCTGCAGAGTCCCCACCTGACTTCCTTCAGGTCCTTAACCAGGATGTAGGTCATCTTGCCCTCCTGGGCAGAGGGTGTTGGAGAGTGGATTACCTCCACCCTCTCCAGCCAGTCCTGGGAACCGGGGTGGGATGGGGGCGGTCTCCCTCCTTCAGGGTCTTGCTGGGTGTGTCCTTGATGGACAGAACTGGGGGTCACAGGGTCACCAGTCATGCCCTGGCTGCCTCGGTCTGAAGGCCCTGGACCGGTCTTCTCTTTGACCAGGTAT